ACCGAACCATCAAAATTTTAATCGAACTGAACTGTTCTCTCTTGCTTCCTTGAATCCAATCCATCTGTCGTCATTTCTATCAGCTTCTCTTGCGATTCGTATACCCAACCAAACCAAACCCACTGCTGTCATAGCAATTCCATCTCAGAGCCACTCTAGACAGTCCTTCTGAGTCTGCAGAGAGGGATAGGGGCGGATCGCTCCGTCTCTTGCTCTGAGACCCTGGTAGATTTACATTACCAACCTGATGGTTGTTACTCCGACTTCTCCTCCACGGCACACGAGACTCCTGTGACTAAGTGTAAAAAAGACCAAACCACCAGCTCTTTGCTATCGACTGGATTCCAACTGATGGTGACTCTCCAGGCCAACAAAGAACTGCTCCTTCTCAGACTTGACATCTCCACGGGGCAGACCCCTTACCTCTCTCAGATTGACTAACTAGTGGGTTCAAACCACGCCGGCCTTGTGGTTAGAAACTCATGATGTAGCCCACTGTGACACCAGGGCTCCTTTTTAAGAATGGGGGGTGGGGTATATAAACACAGTGTTCTACCCACTGTCTCCAAGCGATAGCCCCATCCTATGAATATGTGTGTATAGTCCATTGGAGTTTTGTTGTCAATATATTTGCTTGTGTGTTTTTTATATTATATTTATTATACCATAGTTTGTAATACAGCCATTAAATATTTAATAGCACCCTGCTGATCCATCCAAAGGAGAACATGAAAACGAGAGTAACTGAAAATCAAATGTTTCGGATATTATTCTGTTTGACCTCACTGTTATTTATTTCTTTGGGAAGGGGCTGTTCATTTGGGTAACTGCCTCTCAGGTCATGTATTTTGTTAAAGGATACATGAATGCAATGACAAAAGACATCACTTGCCACACATAATTATTCTAGTGCCCATATTATTAATTCAAACCCCTTCTCTGAACACAAATTCCTCTTCTGGATCTGCTTTTCAACCATTTCTTATTCTGACTGCTCCGTGCTCTCAGAACACACGATTGGAATGTATTTTTTTCACCCAAAAGACAGGGATAGCTAGAAAGGTATTCCTTGGAGCAAAATCATTCTTTGTGTTTATTATTCTTTAGTGTGTATGTGTGAGTGTGTGTGTATGTGTGAGTGTGTGTGTGGGGGGGGGTATTTTTCCATTGCTTTGACTTGCAATCCTAACACAGGAGTTTTAATGATGAATGTGAATGACATTGCTCAATAAAGATTTTTTCTTAGATTCTGCGAAGAAAAATAATGTAATTTATTTTTCATTAATGTCATTTTCTTGCTGCTCATTAGTATGAATATGATTACTGTATACCAATATCAGATACTTCAATATGTCTGTGCTATTCTCTGTCTCTCTGCTTTCCATTGTTATATTACCATGGATATTAGCAAATCCTGCATTTCTCAAAAGAAAGCGTTTAATCTAAAATTACTTTTTAGTTTATAGGCATGCACATGGAAAATGGATCCTGATGGTAATCGCACTTAAACCTACGGATAGTATCTGTTCCTTAGGTGAACTTATTTTAAAAGGTTAGCTGAGCAACAGCAAGGCAAAGTGATTGGATCTTTACAATATGGCAGTGTAAATTACTAACGACTTCTTGTAGAGAACACCCTGCAAACGAGACGGCCTGACTAGGCAGATGAACATGACTCCCCTCCACAGGCCTCCCCAGCCATCAGGTCAAACCCAAGCAGCTGGATCAATTCAAGCTGGAACTCTGCCAATTCCACTGGAAAGGAAGATGGGTGGAGCATGAAAGGTGGCCCCAGAGAAAGTTTCACTGATAAATAATAGGACCTCCAGTCAAATTACAGACGTTTAGAGAGGAAAAAACATGAAAACTTATCCAAGTCAGACGCAGTAGTCTGCATATGCAGGAACTCAAAGTGAAGAGGGGACAAATAATGTGTCTAAAGCCACAGATCCCATCAGGAAGGACATCCACTCTCTGAGTTTACAGCCATGTCCCCGGTCCCCGGCCACCCAGTCACCCAGTTCTCCAGAAAGAAGAATCAGATGTAAGCTGTGCGTTCCTGGTTCAGAATGCTTCACTCATGGGAAAGATACCGTATTTACGCAAAAAACAAACCAAAAACTAACGCCATGGGCTAGATCCTAATAGTAAACAAACACTAATAGGAGCAAATAAACATTTCCTTCTGTTCACTTAACTTTCTTTAAATTTCCCAAAGGCACACACACGAAATGCGAAACTTTATTTCCTCAATGCCAGCATTCCTGTGTCACCACAGCTGGCTCTTGGGTTGCAAAACCGAGTACAAACTTTCAGATAATACTTTCCATGTGTACATTTCAGGCAGCGTTATGTGCAGACGCAGACTGAACAAGGAATTCACAGTATGATGCTACCTGGTAATGTCTTCAGACACCAGTTCTCCAAAGAAGAAAGCAAAGAACCCCTGATTTGTCATCTCTGATCATTTCCACGGCAGAAATACTCCCTCTCACTGCAACGGATTTTAAGGCCCCAAGTCAGCTTGCACTAGCACACAACATTACTGAATATTTATCAGTTGCTTCTAGCCAACTCGTCAGAAGTAGCTACTTCATGTCACTGATATTACCATTTAACCTAGAGTTAATCCAGATTAACCCACTCTTTCATAAAGTGGAAACTGAGGCTCAAGGAGCCTTAAGATCCCAGAGGGTCCTAGCAATTTCTAATGTATAGAATTCTACTCCAGCTTCCCTCAGTCCAGTAAAGGAGACTTTATGTTTGATGGTGTTCCTATTCTTACAGTAGGGAGAGTGCTTCTCAATGTGTGCCCCATAGTGAAGCAGTAGCAAGATCCTCTTAATAGACCTCCGGTCTACCCCGGGACTGGGGAACTAGAATACCTTGGTTCGAGGAATCTGTGGTGAATTCAGCTAGCTTTCCAGGAGGTATAGGGCCACAAACAACAACAAACACAATTCCTCCATAAGCATCTATATATAGTATGAGAGAGCGCTTAATATCAAAGAGTAATTGTATATTAAGGAAACATCCCAGCCCAGTCCAGATCAAGTCCATAAATCTGATATTAGGCCATATGTCTGATACTAGTCTATAAATTCCTTCTCAGACTCATGCGACACATGCAGTGATGCCAACTGCAGGAAGATCACAGGTCTGTGGGTAGAAAGTCTGTGGATCCAGGGGCAGTGGAAGCATCTCCAGGGCTCGGCTGCCATCCAGGTGGCTCCATGTGGCGTGTCACCAGGAAGGTGAGGCAGAGAATGTGTGTCCCACCTCCAGGTAGAAGAATCCTCAGAATCCTCAAACACCAATATTTTTTAATGAACGTGAGTCATATACAAATCAAGGATGATATTTAACCTTCCAATTCACACCAGAACCCACTAAAGGAGATACTTTATCTGATGCTTCTATCACATAGCCTATATACTTTCACAGTTTTGAAGATCTGACTTTCCAAAAGAGGGGTATTTTTTCTAAACATGAATCACTTATCCCCTTTTATCCAACCTTAATATTTGGTAATTATCTCAGTCCTAAATCGAATAGTCATTTGTATGCCATGGTAACTTAAGCCTGTAATTTTTCAACTTCTTTTAATAACTGATTTTAAATAAATATTTACTTCAAAGGTTCTGCTTTACCTCTTTTATAAATCAAGGCAATCACTAGCACCTGGTCACTTCCACCCTAATTCACATCTGTTGTTGGCAGCTGACTGTAGAGTTAGGTATTTGTGTTTTTGTTTGCCTGCTACTTCCTGTTGTCTGGATAGCTACTCCCCTACTTAAAATCCAGAACAAAGGCAAATAAATATTCTCCACTTTGTGTTACTCTCAGTATTTCAGAGGTTGAAAAGTTCACAAAATAAATACCCTCTCAACCTTCTTGTACAAGTATTGCAAAAGAGAGAAAAAAACAATTGAGTAATAGTTTCCCAGTTGTACAAATACCCAGCTAAGACCCAATCAAATCCTCAGTACTCATACTACTTTGAAAGTAAGCAGACAATAATATAAAAATTGCATAAGTTTTATGATTCTTAATCCATTATTAATTTTATGTGGGTGGTAAACTTACATATGTGAAATTTATTTGCATACCTATAAAAGAGTTAATAAAATAAATGTTGTAGGTAAGAGATTAATGAAATTCTTTTGGAAAGAAGTTTAATCATACCCACATTTCCTAACAAAGACAAAAATTACTTGGTGAGACTTTATGCATGACAGAATGGGCTTGTTGAGAGAAGGCTTCTCTGGACTTGGCACTAGATGTTTTCCAGGAAACTGGAGAATAAGCTATATAATTCTCCAATTACCTGGCTATGGCTGTGCTTATAGGAACCCAGATAGGGCAATGGTGAAATCGCTTGATTGCTAATCAGAAAGTCAGCAGTTCAAACACACCTGCTGCTCCATAGGTCAAGGATATGGCAGTCTGCTTCTGTAAAGATGGAAATTTCATGGGACATTTCGACTCTGTCCAGCAGATCCATTATGCATCAGGATTGGCTTGATAGCAATGGGTTAGTGAGTCTGTTGGATTAGACCTACATTTACCATAGCCTGGCCAGAAAGGCCTTGGGAAAAATGAAGTAAGCCTCCTGAAAGCTACCACTTCTGAGTTGGACGGTCACTTAACACTTCTCAAGAAAGCTGCTGCTCTCATGAGACTTCTCATTGATTCCACAAATGACAGGCCTGGAAAGCTCAACCCAATAATTGCCCACTTTCAGGTCGAGGCTGGCATGTCAATCGGCACGCCGCTCTTGAACCTCTATATCGTCAACACAACACAAATTATACAACCCTGATCTCTAAAGTAAGCTGAATTCAAATGCCAAGCCAACTTTCTGTTTGCCCAGCAAAGTCTTCCTTATCAAGAACCAGCAAATGGGGTGAGGGGATGAAATAGCCTGTTCTCTTGTGGCTTGTTATCTCACAGGCCAGGACGGAGCCTTGACCCGGTGCAGAGAACAGAAGGGGACTTACGGTTGGCACAGCTTGATTAGGTCCTGATCCGTGGTGCCTGGTGGGAGACCTCGGATGTACAGGTTGGTTTTACTCAACTGTTCCCCGCTGCTGTTGCTGCTGCTGTTGTTGCTGCTGCTGTTTGTGCTGGGGCTGGGAGGAGCCATGGGGTGGGGAGCTGGTGCATAGGACTGCTGGAAACAGAAAATGGAAAAGTAAAGTCGCACCTGTTCACAGGCCAGCAGAACAATTCCAAAGCAGTGTACGTTTATTGACCTCCCTGACCCCACAAGCATACGTGGTTTTAGATTATTACCATATGCTGCTTCTCAGAGCATCACTGTTTTCCTCTCATGGTTCTGTCTTTGGATAAGTTAGTCAGTCTGAAGTGGTACCAATAATAATAATAAGAAGAAGCTGCTGCTACTAGGTATTGCTGTAAGTAGCATATGACTTCTAAGTTGGTCTCTGACCACATGGCAATTCTCTTTAGACCTGTAATGTAAGATGTTATCTTTTCAAATGAAAATGGCTCTCTTGGCACCAAAATAATGCCCCTAACATATCTTTAGTGATCCGGCATCTTTGCTTTGCCTCTGTTGTTTTCATCACCATTACTCTCCAGCACTCCATCAATAGTAATTCTATGAATAAATTAGTGCATCTATGGCAGTACTTTGTCCTGGTTCCCACAACGTCCATTCCTTTGTAGTGAATTTCCCTTGTTTCAAGACTAAACGTCTTTCTCTTCCTGGAGTCAACATCCTCTTAGCGAGTTTCGGCAGGGTTGACGATTTGGAGGGAAAATTCTTGGTTATGGGCTGTCCTATAGATTTCAGGATGCTTAGCAGTATCCCTGGCCTTAACCCATTAGATGCTAGTAACTTTCACCACCAATTGCGAAACAGAAGACATCTTCAGATAGTGCCCCGGGGGATAAGCTTCTCTCCAGTTTGGAAACCCTTCTCTAATCTGTCATGCCATTTGATAGCAAAATGGAAATGATCAAGTCATCTCCTCCAGTGTGTTATCTGATCTGAGGATGTTTACAATGAGAAATGTTATTACATCACTATTAGTAAATATAGATACTCATTTTACTTTATTATCATTATCGAATACAGGCATATCTTGTAAATCCTCAAAATACACGGGCTATTTGGGTTTCAGTCTCGATTGGGTCTTTTATTTATTGTTAGACGCTTGGCTGGTTGCTAAACCACCTCAGACGCAGCATTTTCACTAATAACAAGCGGACCAAATGTGTAATTTCCAATATCATAGGGCCCTTTCAACAGTTATGTCCACAAAAGTGATGCAAATAAATTATATCTGAAAAGGAGAAAATGCACAGTGACTGTTAACAATGATATTTTGTAGGAATAATAACGGTGACAGTTCTATGGATAGATGGAGCAGCCCTAGGGGCAGAGTGAACGATGCATTGGGTGCTGACTGCAAGGTCCGCAATTCAAGCCCAGCAGCGGCTCGCCAGGAGACGGATGAAGCTTTCTGTTCAAGAAGTACAGCCTGTGAAACCCACAGCAGCAGTCCTACCCTGTCCTGAGGTTTGTGTGAGTCAGAAACGACCCCATGGCAGTGCGTTTGCTGTTTTGGATGGCTCGTATCTATCTGGAAAATGCTACTTGCAAGTTAACTATCAGAGGTTTGACTCAAACACATCCCAGGACCGTTACAGACCCAATGAGCGCCGTCATCAACATGACAGTGGGGAATTTTTGGCTGGGTTCTTACCTGGAGACTTGACTGATTAGTTGTTTTATCAGGGCAGTTACATCTGAATTAACCAAACAAGTTTTAATACAGTAGCAAAAAAATGTATTTATTCACAAGAGATCAAACTGTAAGACCTTTCGTCCCACAGAAGAAAGTTAAGGTATCGTATGATGATTTCATAGATGAAAATGAAGGGGGAAAATGTACTTTGTCTCTACAGTCTCATTCTAAAAGAGCCTAATAAACACAATTAAAAATAACAAGTGCAGACTTTTCATTCTAAAGCAGTGTGCCTGAGTCAATAGTCTTTTGGGCCTGGGAACGTGAGGAGATCCCCTGAACATGGGCTGACATGTTCGTAGTCAGAGATAGTTGAACCCTGAGCTTACAGCAGTGGTTCTCAACCTATGGGTCATGACCCCTTTGGGGGGTCGAACAACCTTTTCACAGGGGTCAGCAGATTCATAACAGTATCAAAATTAGTTATGAAGTAGTGATGCAAATAATTTTATGGTTGGGGGGATCACCACAACATGAGGAACTTTATTAAAGGGTCAAGGCAAAGGAAGGTTGAGAACCACTGGCTTAGAGTATCCCACAATGGTTCCCACTGAACTGAGGATAAGCCTAAACGTATGTCAAAAACCTCAAACCCCCACATGAATCTCTATTTCTCCAATCACATCTTGGACCAACCCCGCGCCCAATCCTATAACCTCCACTCTCAGCCTAACTCTGTCCAGCTGGACTCTTACATATGCTTCCAATCTTATATCAATTATCAACTTCAAAGCCTGATCATTTCTTTCCTAGTATTAACATATGTGGGCTTTACCTAATGTGTTTTGATTTAATTTTTAATACCGTCTCTATCCCTAATCTACATATCCCCAGGTTGCAGAGTTTTTCAGACTTTATATCAATAGTTTTACCTCACAACTGTTATATAAAGTCACCGTCCCTGACTTACAGTGGCTCTGTAGGACAGAGTAGAACTGCCCCTGTGACTTTCTGAAACTGTAACTCTTTATGGGAATAGAAGACCTTGTTTTATCCCTCACAGTGGCTAGTGCTTCCAAACTACTGACCTTTCCATTAGAAACCCAACTAGGTGCCTAATAAATAGGTTATATAAAAAATAATAAACACAGCACTCAGCTGGTAGAAACAAGGGGCAACATTTTTTAAAAATACTTTTAGTAGGAGCTCTTACGTCTCTTATCACAATCCATACATTCCTCCAATGTGTTAAGCACATTTGCACATATGCCGCCATCATCATTTTCAAAGCATTCTCTTCCCACTTGAGCCCCTGATATCAGCTCCCAATTTCTTCATGCTCTCCCCCACCCTCCCTCACAAACCGTTGATAAGTTATAGATTTTTTCCCCATATTTTACATCATCCTCCGTTGTCCCTCACCCAATTTTCTGTTATTCATCACCCTGGGAGGGGGTTCTAGTTCAATACTTGTGATCGATTACCCCTTTCTCCACCCACCCTCCCCTAATCCTTCTGTTATCTCTACTCTCCTTGTTGACCCTGAGGGGTTTATCTATCCTGGATTCCCTGTATTTCAGGCTTTTATCTGTATCAATGTGCATGCTCTGATCTAAAGTAGAACTGAGGTCATGATAATGGGGGGAAGGAAGCACCAAAGAGCTAGTGGAAAATTCTGTGTTTCATTGGGGCTATACTGCACCCTGACTGGCTCATCTCTTCCCTATGACCCTTCTATGAGATGTCCAATTGTCTCCTGATGGGCATTGGGTCTCTACTCCATGCCCCCACCCAATTCACCTTGGGTTTGCTTTTATTCTGGGTCTTAGTTGCCTGATACCTTATCCCATCAACACCTCATGATCACATAGGCTGGTGTGCTTCTTTGTTGCTTCTCAGCTAGATGGCCGCTTGTTTATCTACAAGCCTTTAAGACCCCAGACACTATCTCTTTTGATAGCCAAGCACCATCAGCTTTCTTCACCACATTTGCTTATGCACCCATTTTGTCTTCAGCGATCGTGTTGGGAAGGTGAGCATCACAGCATGCCAGATTGTTAGAACAATGTGTTCTTGTGTTAAGGGATTACTTGAGTTGAGGCCCAATGTCCATCTGCAACCTTAATTCTTAACATATAGATATGAGTGCATTGTTCTATTTCCCTCTTGTTATATATAAATATATTTACATATGTACATGCCTGTATTTAGGCCTAGATAAATGTCCTTTGCCTCCTGGCTCTTTCCTTTATTTCCTTTTTACAGTACTCTTGTCCCATCATCATATTTGGCCTTCATTCAGGTTTAATAATTCCTTGCTGCTACATTGCCCTTGATTGACCCCTTCACTAGGCATCGGCGACCTTCCTTCCATTGATTTTAGTTCACTTATTGTTCCCTTGTCCCTGGGTGGTTCCCGTGCCCCTTCCTTTCTCTCACCTCCCCTTCTCCCGTAACCTCCCAGACCCATTGGCCCCATTCTTTTCATCTCCAAATTGTTTATCCTGCCTATCTTATCTAGATAGACATGCATATATATTAATAAGTGCAAAACCCAGGCAAAGCTAAAATAAAACAACAAAGGAAGTCAAAACCAACAAAACAATAACAACTGCAGAAAGCAAGAACAAAATACCAATAACAAAAAGAAAGCCACTGATAAAAAAGGAAAAACCTATAAATAGTTCAAGTTCTGTTTGTTGGCCTTTATGAGTGCTTTCCAGGGACCATATTTTAACAGCATCCAGCCTTGTTCATTGCTATAATAATCTGTTTTTTACAAAGAAAATTATTAATTGGGAAGTAATTCAATATCATATCATTCCATAGTTCAATCACGTCAAGTCGTGTTGTACAATTGCTACCACAATCAGTTTCTAAACCTTTCTTAACCTGTCCAGAATTTCAGATGTTCTCAAGTCCCCATTTCCAACTGGTCAAAAGAGAAGGACTATATTCCATTTGTCAAAATGCTACCCATTACATCATTCACCTCCCAACTTACCACATCAAGCACCTATCACAATGATCCCATCCCTCCAGGCTCCATGCTAGAAACCTGGGTGTCAATTTATCCCATTTCCTACTCCGACTTCCCAGTAGAGTCAGTCTCTGAAACTGCTCACAGGTTCTTGAGGAATCCTTATTGTTTCTGTAGATCTGTGTCTGCAACATCTCAAAGTTATGGGCTTCAAGTCTTTTATCTGGTTTACCTCACGCTTCCCTGTTCACTAAGACAGAAGAGTTAATGAGTAACAAACTGGCCAACATAGGCTTGGCTGTTTTGTTTTGTTTTCTGTCAGCCTTGTTTGTTCATTAAAGGGATGGACAAATGAGAGACCAGATATGACAAAAGCCACTTTCAGAGCACCCTATACCCTTCTTTAAAGTGAATGTTTCTCACTTTTTTTTTTTTAGGATTCTTTAATTGAACACTGAAAGATGAGGG